GAGCATATATAGAAGTTGAGACTAGCTCTCTTGCGAACAGAAGTTGATGAGGTAAACGCAAAGGAGAGATCAAAAAAGTCAAGATGGCAGCCGTGACTGCACGACTGAAGCGCCACCCTCATGCGTGACACACACAAAAAGGGGCAGAGCTTCAATTACATGCTGTGTCCACCATTTTGACTTTCTTGACCTCTGCAGATACCTTTCAGCTTATGGGAGTGCAACTTGTTTCTTAAATGGCAGTCATTTTAATCTGCATTCAGGTTCTTTTTTCCCCCTCGAAGACAGTAGGGGTCAATGGGTGGGAGAGAAAGCCACTGCGATTCCTGTTTCAACATTAGGTCTGTACATATCATAATCAGATGTTGCAAGTTAGAATAAAGAGCTCAGAACCCGTTACATCAGTTAAGGAGAAGTTTACAAACTTTTTAGCGATGGAAACATAAGCGATCGTTTCAAACCAATTTTTGTAGAAAGAACTTTTATAGTTTATTGCCTGCCAGAGAAGCTCTTTTGCAACTCACGAGGATTGTGTTTTGCTAATCACGAAAGTCATGGAGCAATTAAATTCTTGCTCATATAAGAGAGGGAGTAAAGATTTAGTAGGAGCTTTACTTTGATCAGACTCCTACTGTTACTTAGGCTGAGTGTTCTAATGAGACATTCAAAACCCCTTTCTGCCTTCAAAGGAAATGTTCCATGCCCACAACCCCACATAAAGATGAGCTAACATCTCCTAGGTGACACTATTTTGATGACGCATAGTCACAGTTTGTAATTACTATTAAATTCTGCACTTTTCTGAAAGCGATTTTCAGACACACTCGATCCCAAACGACACATATCTGTTTAATTGCATTTCCTAAGTAAATTAACATTTATAATAAAATCTCAATATTTATCTAGCCCTTCCTTAACAAAACCCTTAACTTAAGACAGTGGAATGGCAAACCTGGGATAAGTGGACCAAAGTAAAAAGCCGCTGAGTTCATAATCACAAAGGAAAATTTTGAAATGATATCCCAGTAGCTGGAGCTTTAGCAAACTACAGAAGGAAACAGGAAGGGCGAAAAAAAAAATATCAAATGATTGATTAAAAAAAAAATTCACCAGAAAATATTTATGATTGAAATAGTGTACTTTTATTCTCCCATTTAAGAGGGAAAACAAAAAAACAACTTTTGTTGACATTTTGGTCAACCATAGTGACACTCAGATTGTGTTGCTTTTTTGTTGTTATTATTTGTTCCTTTATATGACTTTATATTTCTCTCCATAAAAAAACAAAAACAAAACCCTCACTCTGGATATAGGTTGTCCTTATTTTTAATAGTTATGAGCTCAAGGAAAAAAATAGCTGGAAAACAAGAACTTTCACATTAACAATTATAGGTGACTATTTATTTATATTTTATTTATTTATATAGCAAGTTTGTCATCGCCCATCTCGTTAAAACAACTTTTATTGTGCCCACAGTTGATTTATCACTGCATTAATCATATATTTTTCTAACCTCAAACTAAACAGTGTTTTGCCCTAACCATGATAAGCATTGTCTATGTCACATGGGTGTGAACCCTAATTTTTGTTGGCGTGTGGTGATGAAATGGAAGTATTGATCTAGGATTGGATGGGAAGTCAGATCAACTATCTTCTCATCTCTCCCCGATCGTGACATTCACTGATTGACTTTGGCCCTAAATCTGCTCTCTAATTTCATTTACCTTACATGGTTGTGGTGAGATAAAGTGGATTCATTGGCACTTCTCTCTTTCTGAAAAGAGCAGACAACAGGTTGGGGGTTGAGTACAGTATTAAGACACTTCGAACCCTTTGGATTGTCAGTAGAATTATGATAGAGCTTTTAAATGGACATGTTGGATCACTGGGAATCCTAAAGACATTTTTGGGTATTCTAAAGAGTTACACATAATTTTATTTAGAACTCCTTATATACCACCTCAAATTCCTTAGAAGGAAAGTAGGACAGAAATGCAATACAATGAATAAATGGTAAAGTCCTATGCAACAGTATTCCCCATGTCTTGGATTACAGCTAGAATTGGTTAAGGATTTCGGACACTGTAGGCCACGAACGCTAATCTGGGATTAAGTCCCAATGACTTGCATAGGACATACCTTGGGGCAAACAAGCAATCTGGCGTGAATGTCCATTTTCTTCAGAATACCAACTCCGTGTAAAACACAGCTAGTGCATCCGGGTCAACTTTTGTAACCTGGCTCATTTTCCACTTGCAACTTAGTGGAAAAACACTGGTCATCAGTCTTTCGTATATTACGGGATTTACATCTCCCTTTTCTGTGGCACACCAACTCCACCAAGAGGCAGGTTGGCATGGGAGACTGCCTGGCCCAGAAGGGAGGTCAACTTGAACCTGGGTGCCCCCAGGGCCAGGCCATCACCTTAACCATGATATTAAGCATTATGCTGGCATAACAACAATAATAATAAGACTTCCAGGTTGCAAAGAATTGGGTATGGTAGCCTCCTTTCCTGCTAATCCATTTTATTAAAAGGCACACCCTTTCCTTTCCTTTCCTTTCCTTTCCTTTCCTTTCCTTTCCTTTCCTTTCCTTTCCTTTCCTTTCCTTTCCTTTCCTTTCCTTTCCTTT